TGTTGCTACATGCCTTACTTCTTGCCTATCTCACACTGCGAATTTTTTCTAAGCTCTATACTAAACATTAAATCTGTTACGAAAAAAGAACTAAACAAAATGAACACAAAACCATCAGCTTTAAAAAAGGACTCGTAACTGGAAAAACCAAATGAAAAAACAATGTAAACAACAAATATTTTTTCACACCGAACCCAGTTTCCTGAAATATTGAGACTGGTCATACAACTTGGGCGTGGTTGTTGTTTCCCTTGTTTTGTTAACCCGGTACTTTGGAAACCATACATTGATCCGATTTTAAGTTCAAATAAAAAGAACTCAAAAGTAACAACGCGAAGTCCAGAATGAGGTGAAAAGCTTCGATGTCTACGGGTCGCGTAGTGCAGGCGAGACATTCAACTTAAAACCACCAAAATCCATATCACCTTTGAGTTAATCGGATTTTTTACAAAGTTTGAGTCCAAATTTTCTTGCATGGAAAGGAAAAATGGAATGGAGTTTGCGTATCACTGGCTGAGGACTTCAGTGTAGACCACATTTTTAGCTTTTTGCAAGAGTGAATAAAGGAACACATCCTCGCGCCAGCCGACTCGAGAGCAGGCTACGTAAAGTTGGCCGTATGAGAAGCACTGCTCTTCTAAGTGTACACCAGTGACAGACAGCGTTTGTCCTTGGGCCTTATTGATTGTCATAGCAAAACAGGGTGCGACTGGGAATTGGGATCTTCTGGAAGTGAAAGGTACGTCGGCATCTGATGGATACAAATGCATCCTTGCTCGCCTTTACCGCAGCCAGTTATAATTTTGGCCTCAATAATATTTGGGTGTAGGGCTTGAAAAACTATCCTGGTCCCATTACAGACTTTCGGTGGACGCAGGTTTCTAAGCAACATAACCGGGACCCCCACTTTAAGTTCCAGAATGTGAGGATGGAGACCAGCGGGGTGGAGGCTGTTTAAGAACTCCACTGGAAAGTTCGCCATTTCAGTGTGAATTTCAAATGGATTTGTATACGTGCAAGACCCCTGGCACAGTTTTCAGAAACTATCTATTAAGGGTTGTCAAAGTGGTGTTTTTGGGGGCAAGAATTTCCCGCCCGGCAAGCCACTCAATATTGTTGTAGTTGGTTTGAAGATCAGGAAAAACTGATTCCCTGAGTGTTGCTGGCGTTGTGACCACTGTAGACAACCCTTGGACGTTTACAAATCCATTAGTGTCCGCTGGAATAATACCTTCGTCAAGGGCTAATAATGAATTCGAAAATTCGGCGGACCCAAAATCGCCAGTGTGCACGCATGTTGGTGGTAATGTGCAATGGCCTAACAGTGGGCAGAAAGTTGTGACGATTTCAAGCACGTCCGAATAGCATCGGCCTTTGTCCCCTTAGGTACAACGGGGAGAATCTGGCGAAAGTCACCGGATAGAAGGACAGTTATACCTCCCATAAGGTCATCGGAGTTTCGAATATCCTTCAGAGAGCGGTTTACAGCCTCGAGTGCAGTTTTGGGACTGACAGTGCACTCATCCCAGCTTACATTACCTGTGTACCTCCGCTAGACCTGATTGCTTGGCTATACTGCATACAGCTGTTTCTGACTTAATCAGGTCAAGCGGAAGTTTAAACGTTGAGTGCACTGTTCGGTCACCCGGTAGTAATGTGGCAGCAATGCCTGAAGACGCTACTGCTAGCGCCACTTCGCCATGGCGCCGAATTTCTGCAAGAAGCAGTTTTGCTACGAACGTTTTTCCCGTTCCCCAGGCGCATCCAGGAAGAAAATTGATCCTGCATCCTGCCTGGTGGATGCAAGAACAGCATCGTAAGCGGCCATTTGGTCTACGAGAAGTTTTGGCTCATTTGTTGTGACATAGGCGTTGATCTCTTCAACAGAGTAGGATGTCTCCCGTCCAATCTCAGGTGAGAGACTGGAGGAAGCCACACGATCTGGCGTTGGAAGCCCAATAGCCGCGAGAGATCCCCCCCCCATTTCAACAAACAGGTTCTCAATGATTATAAGCGCCCTGTTGTAAATTTCATGGTTGAATGTAAGAGCCATTGTTGGACACATCAGTTGTGCTTCTCTGAGTATGTCTTCGGACAAAAAGTCCTTGTATTTGTCCCAAAGTGATTTGGGATCACAGGGTTCGCACATTTGTAAGATTGTGGTGAAGAGGTGGGGCAAAGCAGAGGGCAATTTTAAAAGAGCTCCCTCAGCCATTGTGGCATCCCACTGGCTGTCGTCTTCCAAAAGGAGTCGCAAGTAAAAACATTCCTGTCGCGATGGGGGAACCGTGAATACCCTTCCGAGTGTGGCGTCTTTTTTGACGCCTGGATAGCCCCCGACGTTGGTCTCGCACTTCCGCCGAGCCCAGGTGTTTTTTTTTATCCACACGTAGTATGAAGGCACGTCTGGGTACAGTAGAGTCCTAGCAAACTCGTCCTGTCGACAAAGTTTGAAGAACGCTTTAAGAGTTGTGTCTTTGGTACGCGCAGCCACATCCAT